AAACCTGTAAGTTTTGTAAAAATGTGTTTGTTACATGTTTGTTAAAAGTGTCACTATGCCTTGACAGTGTATTATGAGATGTAAAATATGTGGAAAAATCAAGCTCCACTGTCTTTTCCGTGGTCCCACAGGAAATGCACCGCTCCCAGTCAAAACAACCAATCAGAGGCAGGAGGAAGGTTTTAGTGCTGTCAATCAGGCTCGTGTACGGGCTGCTCACACCCTCCCCTACATAGTGCATTCAAGCTTTTGGTTTGCCAGCACTGTGCTAATCGCAGATAAACAATCTACTGGATGCTGTGGTGCAGGAGCTGTAGCACAGAAGAGAGGGGGACGCTGTTTAAACAATGATTTTTTTCTTGGGTGGTTATTGTGCTATTCATTGATGTGTATATATCAAAAAATATTGATTTTGCTCACATGTGGGAATCTAAACTACTATTGCTAACACTACTGGGAAGAAAAAACTTTACGGCTGATGGGATATGCCTTTAAACATTGTTAGATGGTGTTATTTTCTTCAATTGGGTCACATTGCTGACAGCGCTGAGTGTCCTGTTCACCCATTTGTGTTTATTTGAACACAGCAACTTCAGATGCTTGTCCTAGGACATGTTACAGGCTGTTGTTTCCAAGCTGACACAATTACAGTTTGAATTTATTCGGTAATCTCGTACATCAATACAGAAAAAACAAGAAATATTGGCACTTTATGTGAGGTCAAATTGTATAATACACAACATTTGTATAATCTCAATTGTGACTACTTTATTGTTCAGGCAGAATCAATGACATGCATTTGTACTTACAGAATCGATCATCTAACCAACATTATTGTACAGTTGTGTCACAGCAGTTTACTAGTAGAAGGGACTGCAAATTAATGCACGACATGTTTCTATTGGTTTTTTTTTTTTACAGAAAAACTGAAAGGAGCCATAGGTTGGAAATTACAAAGCAAACTTAGGTTTCTTCTTTATTAAACCCAACATTACACTATTAGCTTTCATTGATTCTTCAGTGGAAGTCCAAATTTGAATAGTGCTCTGAGATTTATAAATGTTGTGAATTACTACAATATCTCCCATCGTTTTTGACAACCAACAGCAAATAAAAATTACTTTACATTTTCTTTTTTTCTTCTTTTTTGCTCCTACAACAGGTATGTTGTATCATACACATATCAAGACACATGTATACATGAAACTATGCAGCGGACCATTGCAATAAACCTACATAAATCAGATAAGATTAATGCTATCTGATGCAAAGCAATACAGAACATTTCAGGCTCAGTAAAAGTAGTATGATACAGGATCGAAATTATGTAGAAACATGAATTCACCATTCCACATAATCATAATACTAATACTATTCTAATGGAAAGCTTCACTCTACAATATTATTATTATTATTATTAGTTTTATTTCTGAGCATTTGCTTAAAAGGATACCACGGTTACTTTCAATCTGAGTTTCCATTTATTTTGCAGTTTTGCAAAAGCAACATAAATGTTATTCAGATGTGATCACATGATTTATTGCATCATGGTAAGAAATGAGAACCAAATGAAACTCAGGCTGAAACCAACACATTATCCTTTAAAAGTGCAACAACAACAACAACAACAACAAAAAATACCCTTCAACAGATAGAGGCACATTGTACTGTACATTCAAACACATTTAAAAAGAAGGATGTTGAAATGCCTTAGAGTGCATCTAACATCATATTTTCGAGCCAGATAACCTAAAAATATTTAATGTTTGAAACATGTATGAATTATCACCAGCCTTTCCACACTGGCTTTTATTTTTAAAAACACTCTTCTGAACTAAAAAGAGCCTTTTGAGTCAACTAAAACAGAAAGGCACTATTGTGTATGGATGGTGGTGTTGGATCTGTAATGTGAGCAGACACCTTGAAGTCTGTCACTCTCTATGACTGTGGTCAGAAAAAAAAAAAAAAGCTTTTAAGGGAACTGTGAGAAATGGGGGACAGTGAGGTTTGCACAGTGCCTAGGTTGGTACCATTGCTGCCTTGCTACAAGAAGGTCCAGGATTTGAATCGCATCCTGGAGCTTTTCTGCATGCAGCTTGCATGTTCTCCCTGTGCACATGTGAATTCTTTCCATGTCCTCCAGCTTCCTCCCACAGTCCAAAAACATGACTGTTAGATTTAATGGTCTCTCCAAATTGCCCTCTGGTGAGTGAGTGTGAAAGTGCATGGTTGTTTGTCCTGTGTGCGTTGCCCTGTGATGGACCTGTCCACGGTGTACCCCGCCTCTCGCTCAATGGCTGCTGGAGAACAGCAGGTGTAGACAACGGATGGCAAATTGGTGTGTCAATACTTATAAAATTACAAAAAGAATGGAGTTAGCACTTTTTGTTTGAATGGTAATCTGTGGAAGTGAGGGTGAGCATTGTGGAACTAAATACAGGCAAAGATGATGAATATCTCCTCACCCACCAAAAACAAGCAAAAACATCAGATGGGTAAAAATGGGTGATCACAGCTATTGTTTGTGAGCACAATTTTTTATTGGATAAAATAATGCTTTTTTTTTAATTAAGTAAAAGGAAATACAGTGTTGAAAGAGATGAACTTAGGAGTTGTTGAGTGGAATGAGACATGGGCCCTTTTGCAAAATATTAATGTAAAATTATGGGATGGATCTAATGCAAGAAAATTAAGACTGTTTCATAAACTCCATGGCACAAAGTACAAAGTATTATGATGTGCCAGCTGCTTTCAGAAATGGTAGAACTGATGTTCTTCGACATTAGAGTGATAAAGCCAATGATCACAATTGGAACAAAGACAATATCTATCTACGTAAATGCTCCCATATCTTAAGTATGAACTATTTTGCATTAATGCTAGCATTCTACTCAATGCCATCACTCACCTGCAACATTCAATCTTTTGTGCTTACTTTTTTCTTTGTTGTTTTTTAAATCTCATTCATGGAAATCAGTCATGGTGACCTACGAGTCTGAACACAATTAGGAAGAGAAATAAATAAAAATAATGGTATATGCCCTTTACATGACCATCAATAAAAGGTTCAACACCTCCCACAAAAACGATCTGACAACAGCTTAGAAATGTAAAACACTCATATGCATAGAGCGTATTTCCTCACATTCTTATGGTAATACTTTCATGAAGTCTCCAAACATTCAAATTTACGTTGACCTGTAACCATAATGTTACAAAAGTAAAACTTCAACAGCAAGTAAATCAATATAATGCAATACAATAAAATCAGTGTTAACTTTCTGTCAAATAATTTAACATGTTTAAACAAAAAAAAAAAAACAAACAAACAAAAAAATATGCTGTTTTTGGTTCCTTTCATGTTTTGTACTGTAAAATATGTATTTGTGTGTGCATTCTAACTTTTACATTAAAATTTATGTGACCTACATATTAAATAAAACCGATATTCTCCAAGTAAATTTTAGAATTCAGTCACCAAAATGCTCCAAAAGCAAAAAAAAAAGAAAAAAAAAAAAAGAATATATAATACTCATATTTTATAAGACCTGTTACGACTGGCTCAGGGTCATAAATGAAACAGGATTTATTAACAAAATCTATAATAGAATTTGCATGTCATTATCAGTGGCGTAATGCAAATACTTGGATGTGCTGTGTGTATATGGAAATGCTAAGATGCAAAAACAAAGACAAACTCCAATGTTTGTTGGAGTTTGTCCAACAAACATTGGACAATGCATGCCACATGCCACATGCACGACCACCTCGTGCATGTGGTCGAGCACCACATGCACGAGGAAGAAGAGCGGATGATGAGCGTGACCATGAAGGAAGAAACAGCCAGCCTTAAATATTCTGTGCTGTGGATTAGCAAATCAGTCACACCTGCACAGAGGAGCAGCACAAGAGCAGACACACAAACACCTGCAGCCCAGCTCAGTGGGCCTAGGGGTGTACCAGATAAAACATATAAACTTAGTGCCACTCTGAGTTTAGGATTAGTTAGGAGTTGCACTTAAATAATGAAACCAGGGCGGTAAGTACAACTGACTGCTTTAGAATGAACACTTGTGCTGTTTTGTGATGCCATCCTTAGCAGTAAAATAAGTAAGGAGGTTGTATTATCTGTTCTTTGTTTGATTGCTGAAAAAATGATGAACAAATAAATGAATAAACAGACCTAAGATAAGGCCTTACCCTTGAGTTGAAATGTCAAACTGGCAAAAAAACAAAAAAAAACAATTCAATGTAATTATCGTGGAAAGTTTTGCCTTAATTGACATGGCAACTTATCTATAATGATGTTTTTACTTTTTTTTTCAATGAGATAGCTTGTTAATTCAAATTACAGTCATCTGAAGCATTGTTACATAGAACACTAAATAAAAAAAACAATACACAAGCAAGCTTGAGAAGTAGACTGCCTTCAACCTTCAGCTTCAAATGACCGCCAGATTGTTTTTTGAGTTCTGCAACATAGAAGAGACTTTGAATGCTGGCGTTGCTGAGGCTGTTTTTCTCATTGTAGTTTCTGGAGGAGAATGGAAATTAAACTCAGTCTAAGTGACCCCATTCCTTCAGACTGCAGGAAGGTTAAATGTAGATACAAAAAAGCTCATGTGATATTCACATCAGTTGAGCCTGGTAGGCAACATAATGTCTACAGTCAGATTTAATTTATATGTAAACTTTTTTTTCTTTTATTCTCAAATGCTTATTTTCCCTCATTTTTTGGCACCACAAGTGGTGTTTGAACTCAACTAATCAACTTTTGACAGGTTGGTTATCAACCTACGTGTTCTTCTTTGGAATTTTTACTTTGATTCTAATTGGTAGTAATTGAAAAATAAAGCAAAAAAATAAAAAATAAAAATCCATGAAGTTTGGCCTGATGATTAGCTTTCAAAATAGATAAAAGTCTTTAAAAAGTGGTAAATGGGTAATTACTGGTAAAAAAAAAAATGGAAAAAGAAAATGAAAGGAATATCCAGTCAAATTGTTAAAGCCAACATGTTTTACTGGGTACAAACAAGTAAAGAAAATATCGAATCTGCCCCATGATTGTTTTATAAGTACAAAAAAATGATAGTAAACCTAAACATAAACAATATTTGCCCAAAAATCTTGTTAAAATTGTCTCACTTTTAACATGATTCAATATAAGTTCCAACTACTGAACTATTCATCTAGCATAACACATTCTAGTAATACTGCATTTGCAACAACGAGCCAAAACCATAAGGCTTTCTGAGAATTCACTGCAAAAACCATCGAAAGAAACGAGCTGCACTTAACTGTGGAAATTCACTTCACTGGAAAACTCAGCTCTGGACGGGTTTGTTAGGTTCCCGTCAGTAAGACTGTCCCTCAGCCTGTGTATTGATGAGCTGCAAATGAATACTAGATTTCACCACTGGCTTTTTGCCAGTTAGCGGGGCACATCCCGTTCAATTGTTATATAACCGAGAGTTAAACTCAGAGCCACATATGGAGTTAAGCAGAGTTCAGTCAGCAGCTTTTCCACTGATAACTCTGCAGAGGCTTGTCCATGTGCGGCCATGCATGGCCACGGGGTGAACAGCTGGAGAACGTGTACTGCAAATCACATTATCTCACAGTTTTTACAGTGGAATGTATAAAATATTTCATTCGTACATAACTGCTAATATGTACTTTCAGATTTTTTTTTTCACAGGTTCTAATGCTGATTAAGGAAGTCTTAATTGAGGATATTGTATATCAACTGTGGGGATTTTTAAACTAACATTTGAACAGCAGCGGCTATTTAAATAATGCAGTCAGGACTGCATGTTAGGCTGAGAAAGTAGTCAGATGATTATTATGGTTTGCACAGCCTCTCTACATGCTGAGGAGTCCACGTTTAATTCTAGACATACTGCAGCGTCTGAGCCAAGCTACTGCAGCATGTGCCTGTGTTTGAACAGCCTACGCTGTTTAAATTTCTTTACGTACACACACACAAACATGTACATATATATATATATGAGGTTTTTATGTGGATCTCAGCAAATGTGCTCTTCAAGAAAATTCCTCAATTTCGGCTTTCGGTGCGACCCCATTTTGTGATCCTGCACCAGCACCACTGGAGGCAAGGATCTCCGACTGGCGTGACGTGACGTAGCTTCTCTTCCTGACAGGCAGGGCGCGCTCGCTTCCTCCTGCACCGCCATTGCCTTCAGCAGGGTCGTAGACCACAACCATGGTGGTATCCATCCGCGTCAGCGTGTACATGCTACTCTGGCGTGTTTGGTGCAGTCGTATTGAACGCAATTCCAGCTCGTCGTAGCTGGATGCCTTGATGAAGGGGCACCAGCGAAATGCCCTCTTGAAGCCGGTTCGAAACCTGGGACCAGATCAGCAGAAGGGACTGTTTTAAGAGGGTGAAGCTGCAGAAGCTGAAGCACAAAACAAAATCTGTTTGATGTGCATTTTTGAGACTTTTCTTCAATGATATTGAAGTTTAAATTGTTTACTGGTACTGGAGGTATGTAACTTTCTTGGTAAGACTTTAAAGTGCTTTGCAAAAATAATTACACTTTAACTTTTCAGTTAACTATTATGCTTTACTTTGTCCAATTAAACCCCAGCCTGTGTTCCTGATATTACCATAGTAACATGTAATTTTCCCAAAAAATAAAGGGTTAAAAGTTGAAGCTGAGTTGAAGCTTAAAGTTGTAAACCTTGAACAATCTCGTGGGAACCCACCTGCTGTTGAGGCAGCAGTAGATAACAGGATTATACATGGTGGAGCTCATGGCCAGCCACAGCACTGACAGGTAAACCTGCTGGATGTACTTCCACTTCATCAGGCGTTTATCGAGACCGGTCACAATGAAGTAGAGATGATACGGCAACCAGCAGAGGGCAAAAGTCACCACCACAATGATCATCATCTTTACCACCTGTAACAGAAACAGAGGGCAACTGTGATGGTATTCTGCATGCCTGTGGAAGTTACAAATGAAAAATGGTTCATGAGCATCTCTCAAAGTCCGTCAGTTTTATCATTTTGGCCATCACTTGGACGTTTGCAGGAACAGGAAAAAAAAAAAAAAAAAAATTTGTAAATTATAATGTTTGTTCAGCTGAGTTTATTTAATCTTTGTTTAATTTATTTGGGTAGGGTAGTTGTCTGCAGCCAGTAAATATAAGAGCCTCATTCCTGTTTGTCAGACAAGGACTCACACAACACAAAACTGTTTTTAGAGATCGATTTCTCATCACAAAAATCCCATGCTGACAGAATGTTACCTTAGTGACATTGTCTACAACGTGTCAATTAAAACAGTTGATGGCAGCGGAGGAAGACACTTACAGAATGGGAAGCTTTGGCCACTCAACGAGTGCTATGCTCATCTTTTAAGCTTTTCTTTCCCCTTTACCTCAGATGTTATTATAATCCATTTTGTATACTGAAGTAAAATACAACAGAATATGTTTGGACAGTGCTGTTAATTATTTAAGTACACAATGTGCCAGGTCCTTCTAGACAACTAAACAGATGCAAAACAGACCCACTCCTGCAGTGCTGCTTGTGCGTTAACATGACCGCATCGGTTGCCCTTGTGCACAAAATACTTAAATACTAATATCTGTCCTGGTAGATTCAGATAAAATTGGATCTCGCCAATTGCAACAATTCACCTTCTGGCACGAAATTTGTCCTGAATTTTCAGATCCTCCACAGGCGCAGTGCAAAGAGATATAAACATAAGCAATTCATTCTATACCCCCACTATATACTATGCTAAAGATGCATGTTTCTCTACTTTTATCCTCACTGCCCTCGTCCTGATTTTAAGGATCCTCTCATCCTGATCAGGCCGACATCCTCCTGACAAGAGCTCTCGCAGCTTCTCATCTCCATCACTACTTGATTCTAATTCACCTTCACTATTGCCTATGAACATTTTGGATTAGGTCTACTTTGATTTTTTTTGACAAATCTGCCTGTATTGTAAATTATTCCGGAGATAAAGATCAGTCACGGATTGTCTCGAAGCACTGCGTGGGAATGAGGTCCTCGTGACGCAGGCTGGTTCTCAGAAGTGCTCAGCAGGGATCCTTGTAGAAGAGCCACAAGAGACAAAGCAGCCTCCCTTGAAATCTAAACAGTGGTCTTTGTTTTGAGTGAAGGTTTCAAAAAGGTTTATGGTTTAACACAAGTCATGTTGTAAACTGCACTGTGTGGCTCCATGAGAGTCATAAAGTGGTATCTTATTTTGTTTTTTTGTGACAGTCTTGAATTAAAACAGAAGCACTCAGGACAATACAACTAACGTTATGGGGAAAAGGATCAAAGATTTTAGGTAGACAGCTCACCTTTTTTTTTTTTTTATACAGCATTTGCAGTGAACTTTCACAGAAATACACGTCTGAGTATTTTAACAGACATGTGCCATTTCGGTATGTGTAGCTCCAGTTTCTGTTACTGGGAAAAATGAAGTGTGTTAAGATTAAATTCTTTGTTTTTTCTTAAGCCACATCAGGTCCGACATTTTGTGTCAGACCTGATGTGGGTCCCCTCCAGACCTCCTTTCTGGAGGGGACCCTCAGATGAGCCACGGCACGCTGCCAGTCACTTAATGTTCTCCTTCTATGGATAATGCATTTGGCCCTGTCTTCATTGTTTAACCATGACTAAGCTTTTGCTTTTTCATTCTATACACTTGAAAACTGGCTTAGAACTTATTTGCTAAGCTTTTTTTTTTCTCTAAACGAAGCCTGCTACTGCTGTTATTTATTTTACTTTTTTTCACAGAAATTACTCCTAGCTCTGTACTTCTGTGTTTCTTATTTTTGTGTGTATGCTATGTCTTGTTTCACTATTGGCATGAAAATGAGTGCGCAGGCTTCAAACAGACATGGATTTTATTCTCAGATTATAAATCCTGATATTTATGCAGCTAATTTTGAGATTTACTCATGAGAAAATTATTTCTTTTTAAGATCCCCCCCCCTCCCCCACAGATGATAGATGTTGATTATGGCACCCACAATAAATGGATCAGCCTTGTGTGAAACAAATAGGCCACAGAAACTAATGTGAATTTTCTCTGCGTACGATTCAGATCACAGACTGAAATGCCCTAACATCTAAAAGTCTGCCAGCGGGAGAAAGACAAGTCAAAACGTTTTCAGTCTGAGCCTGAATACCTGATTGATAAACCCAAAGCCTTTACTAGGATATAGATTTGAGGTCCCCAGGGGTGCTTTTGCATTCAGACAATCCCACAGAATTACAGCACCAACTTCAGGCCCCTTTTACTTATTGCCCCCAACACAAGGGCTGACATGCTTTCATCAAGGTGTTGTGTGGAAGTATTGAGGTAAAATGACAGGTGGAAGCTGATCTACCATTAAAAACACCTGTAAGCTGGTAGCGGAGGCATTCACAGTGGGTGTGTAAAGAAGGAAACAGCATGTGCTGCAGTCTAATGAACAGTACCGTTGGCATCCAGCTGATTGTATGATGGCAGATTGTTCTGTGTAACCACATAGGATTGGATCACCTCACTGTGGTATGTGGGAATTACCAAACAAAACCAGCTTGACAAAAAAAAAAATATGTTGCTTTTTGTGCTGATTACATTTAATAGTGTGAAAAGAGCTTTGGTCCCATTGCATTGTGTGTGTTGTGAAATAAAATACTGGCAAATCATCAGTTTACAAAACGTGAAAAAAAAGCAATAGATACATAACAAAAAAAAAAAACTTTCACCAGCTAATCTTTATTTGGCTTTTATTAGCTAATCTAGCTGCAACTCATTTCTGAGAATGTTCTGTCCCAACATGGTGTTTATCTGAAGCACTCATCCATGCTTTTCCAGTTCGCTCAGGTCATCTGCTGTCGGCCTTTTAAAAATACCAAGTGTCAGCTACAAAACTGCCTTGCTTTCTGTGAACTGGTGCAGCCAAACAGTGGAGTTGAATGTGCTCTATCACATCCTTCCATGCAAAATAGGGAGCTTTTTACATGTTTCAACATAAACTCAGCTGTCTAGGATTTATTATTTCCTCAATAATAATAAAAAAAAAACCTCTATTTGTCTTTTTGGTTTATCTAAAGCAATTCCAATTTGCTTTGAGCTTAAATAAAAATAATCTTTTCCTTCTAATCGCAGAGCAAACAAAGAATGTCTAAATATGTCTCAAGAGGCAGAGAAGCCATAGATGAACTCGTAATCAAGACAAATTACATAAATGATAAGATCCAAATACATCAGTTTGTACAGTAGATAATGAAAGTATTTTGGTTTTTAGATAGAATATAATTCATGAAGTAAGCATACAAGCCAAATGTAAAACAGAGGACACAAGTAAATCCCAAAAGCTTTTTTTTTTTTTTTTACCATAGTAAGCTGGTGTCATTGTATTTTTCTGAATAGGAACACTGTGTGCAGTACAACCAACTCTTAAAAAAACAGATGGTCAACACTGTTGCCACACAAGGTTTGAATTCTGTAGTTTTGCAAATGTGACAAAAACTATGTTTCTTAATCAACTATGGTCAGAAACAATGCGAGTTATTTATGTTGAGGGGCAGTGAACTAACTTGGAGTGTGAGCGTTAGAGACTCAAATATAGACAAAAACTATATTCAGAATAGGTTTCTAGCCAAGAAGAAGAAAAAGCAGAAGAAGAGTTTTGATTTTGGAAGGAAATGATCAACAAACAATGTAAAGGTTACTGTAAAGAATACACAGCTTTTAATGACACTTAATAGGAAACCTCTGATTTTTATCCAATTAAAGCTCTCCTCACCAGGCCTTTAGTAGAGGTGGACAGCCATGTCTTGAAAGTTTTGAAGTTCTTCCCAACTTTTTTTTTAAAATAATGGTTCAACACTGCTCTGTGACATGTTTGGACTTTGAGATATTGTTTTATAGCCTCTACGTGCTTTAAGCTTATCCACGACTTTACTCCTGACTTGTCTGCTGTGTATCTTTGTATTTACGATTTCGTTTGATCACCAATGTTCTTTAACAAGCCTTTCACGGAAGAGCTGGATGTATGCTGAGAATAAACGAATCACATAATTTACTAATTCAGAGAAATGGATTCACTCAATTTTATATACGGGCATTAAGATTTAAGTCGTGGTTGTCAGATTTCTATTTTTAATTTTTTTCTTTCTTTTTAAAATGTGTACAACCTTCCTTCAATATTTTATATTGGTCAAACACTAAATCACAATAAGACACACATTTGTGGTTTTAATGTGAGAATGTTCAAAGTGTCTGAATGGCTTTACAAAGGATTGCACCTGTCGACCTGTAAGATGAAAACCATGACATTTTTATGAAGAGAGCAGAAGAGAGAAAAAGACGCGACTCCTGTTGGTTCATCCCTCTCTGCAGAAGAGAAAGCTTAGAGAAAGCTCATGAGCTAAACTTGTATAATGCTTAAGGACTCAAGGAACTGACTTACACACACATTTTTGCCATTACCTCTATTTATCTGATTGGACTGGTTGATGTTTTGTTCTCTGGTAGAGTCGAATGTGTTTTAGCTTTTATTTATATCACATGTTTAGTGTATGGGACTTGTTCCACTACTTTCTCCTGCTTTTCTGAACACAACCTTATAAGTCTAAAAACTACGCGGTCCTTACGTTCCTCTCAAACTGCACGATGCTCTTCAGATCAACTTCTCATTGATCAGATCAGTATTTTACCACCTTATTACTCTTTCTTTTTTATTTCTTATGTAGCGCTTTCTGGTGTCTAAGGCTAGATCTGTTTAAGGTTACACCCCAAGAAACTGGTTTCACTACATTTCCCATGAACCCCTGTTGTAAAGCATTCCACTTAGTTAACTGCAAATGTCTGACCCATGAATAAGGAGACTTTATAAAAGCATAGCATTTATTTACCAAACTTCAGAACGCAATTTAAAGTAG